TCTCCTGTTCCCCAGTGGTTTTTGGAGGGGGTTTCCTGCAACCACCATTGCCACCCCAAAGACCTCCAGTTAGGTTGCGACGCACTGCCCTCTAATGCCATTTTGGCATATTAGCAACCCTCGTCCTCAGCAAAGATCTGTAACACGTAGCACAAATGATCCAAATCCAACAAAAAATGCTATCAAAGCTCAAGGGAAATTATATTAAATGAGGCATTTAAAGGCTGCTTTTTTTCTCCAGCATTGCTTTGCTTTACACCTTCTTAGAGATCACGATCAGGGAGAAAAATAAGAAGTCCTTGTTTACCTTTTCTATACCATTTTGGATGCTAGATGCTTTCAGGGTCCACTTCAGCTGTCTCTTTTCAGTCAACACATCTGATTTAAGTTTTTGCATTACACTGCTGCTTCTTGGAGGGCATGAGATGCCCAGGAGTGCAGATGGCCACTCAAAGGTGCATGTGCATGTTGGATTTATGAGTATGTTTTCTCTTTTTCTAATTTTAATGCTTCCTAGCAGCCTGTTTGCTTTCTTGCCTCCTTCAGAGCACTGAGTAGGCATTTCTAGAAAATTATTCACTATGAATGCAGCATCTCTTTCCTTAATAGAAGCAGCTGATTTAGAGCCTGCCGCTGTGTGTGTTTTGTTAGTGCTATTTTCTCTTGCGTGCATTGCTTTGCATTCATTAACACTGGGTCCCATCTGCCATCTCATCATCCAGCCAGCGTTACGCCATCCTTCTGCAACTTTTTGCTTTCAGCTTTTGGCTGATTACTCTGAATAATTTGGGATCTGCAGCAAATTTTATCACCTTGGCTGTTCACCTTTTTCAGGTTGCTTGTTGGTATGATGAGGTGTCCCAACCAAGGCTGGTGGCGCTTCTCACAGTGTGAAAATCAAGAGTTTATTCACAGCCTTTTGGTCTTGCCTGTAACCCCATCTCCATAATCCCCCTCGTCTCCTCTCCCAGGAGTTCAGGAGACCCAGCTGCAACCAACTCATCTCAAACTGCTGAGAAAATTGCTAAGTTGGGAGAAAGAGCTGCAAGAAAAGGTATAGAGCAGAAGGTGAGATAAGAAAGGCAGGTACAGAGGTAGGCCTGCTGAGATGGCGATCATTAGTGGGATTCAAGAGGAAAAACACCAACATGGAAAGGTTTAAAATCCTAAAGGAAAAAAATAAAGATAGTCGGAAGATCATAGACTTCAGCATCATCGAGGGTCTGTTGGAGGGCGCAGAGCTGGCCAATGCTTCCCCACCTTTGCAGATATCGCTGAAAAAGAGATTTCAGCCACAGTTATTACCTACCTCCAAGATGTGTGGTGCTGCAAATGTCTCCTCCATTTCCAGTCTGTCTGGGACCTCTAGACTTGGCAGCTGGGTGAGATTTCTCTACCTGCCTGCAGCCTTCCTGAATTTAATAAGATGGATTTTGTTGGCTTCCTGCAGCCTTCCTGAATTTAATAAGATGGATTTTGTTGGCTTCTTTGCTCCCATACGGGTATATACAAGTATATTGTGGTTATTATTACAAACAGTGACAGATAAATTTTGATCCATGCCTAACGCACTTTCCAGACTTAACCAAGAGCTGCTTCTTTTCTTGTGAATTATCTGATTCATTGCTTTAATAGGTAGTTATTTATGGGTCTAATAATTTAGCCTTTGCCCTCCCTGTTGTGACTTGTTCCTAGGAGGAATTGAAATCTCCCATTATTACTGTGTTTTCTACCTTTGCAGACTCTAATCTCTTTTTAGTTTTTCCCAGTGACCGTCATGCTGTGATATTGCTCTGTGACATTTCAATCCACAGTGATTTCTCTCAGTAACTTTTGATACAATTAACTATTTGATTCCTTCTTTTAACATAGTATACCAGTCTTTTCTCAATGGGATTCTGTCACTGGAAAATTAGTATTCAAGTGTCCTGCTGATTTTGTTTCTTCCACAAAGTTACAGAGATGTGAATCATATCAATCCCTTCTTTTAAAAATACAGGCATTGCGAGGGCAAGAAACCAAATGAAGATACTCAGGAGATCCTCCATAAATAAGGTGAAGAAAATTTCTTCTTACATTTAAGAAGTTTTCACTGTTATTATGAAAGTAGACCCATCTGTAAATGCACTGCCTAGAAAGACTGCCCTAGTAGAAAGGAGCATAACTAGGAGGGAAAGAATCTAGTATAGTCCAGAACTTGAAATCAGGTCTTTTTTAAGTAGTAACCTTACTTACTAGCACCATTTTTTCAGCTAACCATGGGGAAATAAACTGCATAGTAGCACAGTCAAAAGCAATGCTGGAGATAAGGACTTTCTGATTAATATAGAGATAGTGCTTGTAGTATTTTGAGGTTGAAGTGACAATGCTATCTGCTTTGGGGTTGGAGGTTGTGCCTTGCTTTGCAGACAGTGTTGCATGTTTATTTGTGGTGCCATAATTCTTAGAAATCTCAGCTCATCCAATTTGACATGCTTGGTAAGAGCTGGAGATACAGCTGCCCATTATAAGCAAAAAAGAAAATCCGTTCTTGCCGCTGTCAGAAAGAAGACTCTGAATAATTAGTGCAAGACTTTGAGGCGAGCTACCTGGAAAAGATGGGAAATTGGTGTGGTTAGGTTAAAATCCAGGCTTGGACAGATGCAGAATTTTAGGGATTGTTTTGGAAAACAAAAATGATTCCTGCAGCTAGATGATCAGAGAAATCAACCGATCCAGCCCACTTTAGACCCAAATGACATAATGCAATAAATACTTCTAACAGCCAAATACTTTGCAATAACACGGTTACCCGGTGATCTCAGTATTAGTGGGAGCGATGGCACAGTGAAATGGTAAGCAACATACCTGAATAATAGATGGGGATGTTTGAAATACACTTAATGTGAAATGACTGTAAGTTTTCTTTCTTCCTAAATTTTTCGCTACAACTGTGTTGTCAAACTCAGAAGAGTCTCATATTATTGTCTCCATTTTTTTCCCCCAAAATTAAGGTGTGCTTGGTAAGTAATTGGAAATGCTGAATGCCCAGGACAAGCTGCCAGACTACTCATTCAATAAGCTACCACAGATTTCTTCAGGAGTTAGAAATACAGCATAGAGAATTGTGATATAACATACCGGGAAAATACAGTGTCGGGCATACATACAGTCCTGCCCTCTGCCAATCAAATTCCTAAATCTGCTTCAAACTCCAGTATAGCTCCAACTAAATAAGGGTCAGTGGCAGCTCATCGTATTGCAGGGACATATCCCCACGCTCGACTCTGTTTCCCAAAAACCCCACAATTCAGCTATAATGATTATTTCTTCTCTCCTCTGCAGCGACACAGGCTCTTAAACTTGAAAAACGCTGATGGCGTTTAACAATCATTCAAATTCTGAGTGCAGAACTAACGTGGGGTTTGGTATCGCTCTTGCCACTGGGATTTGAAGCGGCTGTCTTTATGTGAGCTATATGGAGCATCCGATAGTATTTGCTGTTTGGCGTTAAACCATCCTGCCGAAATAAAGTTTACTTTGTGTTTATTGTTGTATGTCTCCATTTCCATGGTTTTATGCACCTTCTTTAAAAGGATTATTGCAGGGATCATTACAGAGACCTGCCGAACATCACGTGCAGACCGTGAGGTGAATGGCTCCCATCTCATTCAGCTCAACTGGAAACTCCTCCAGAGCGGGTCTGTGATCCACCACCACCGCACAAGGACTCAAAACTCCGGGGTTATCCCGACCGTGGGGGACCCCAGACCCCGCCAGCATCACGGCCTCGCCCCGTTGCAGGACTCCCAGGGCACATCAGGGACCGGATTCCCGGCATGAGGAGGGAAACGAAGCTCAGAGCGCCGATTTCGCTGGATGTGCACTGTGAACACCGAAAGGAATTCGGGTTTCTTTGGGGCCGAGGAAGCCGGGAGCCCAGATTTCACACCTGTGATGAAAAATCGTGTGTGCAATTAGCTGCCATCTTTCTGCTCTCGCAGAATTCACCCCCACATCCCTCTTTGCTGCACCCTGCCCTGTCCTGCCTGCCAAAACAGCATGCGATGAAGCCCGAGGTGCAGGAAGCCTGAGGTGCAGGCAGGCAGGGCCCGGCCCCGCCGCACCAGGACGGTAAAAGGTGGCTCAGCTGC